TATCTCAAAAAAAGTGTTACCCAGGGAGGCATCTTCTGCCTTCATTCACCTCTCCCCAGGTAAGAACCCGCAGTGAATGTCCACAAATACACTTTAGTAGACAGAAAGCGCCGTTTCCAGAGAAAGGACTCATATTGCTGTGAGGTGTTGCCAAGTTTCCATGAGCAGGCTGAGGCCTGGGGAGAATGTGTGATATATGTGGCATCTTCCAACTGCTTTCACAGGTAGCCTGAGAATGTTCTGGAAAGATGGCAGCTTGAACCTAACCAAGCTCTTTTTTTTTTTACTGCTGCAGCTACAATCTCTGCTATTTGTTTTGTAACTTGCAGGAGGCGATTCTTTTTTTTTAAATAACTTCATAATCTGGAACACATGTCTATTGTAAAATTTAAATAAAAAGTCTCCATGGAAGCAATGTGCTGACAGCACAATCTTGAAACTGAATGAGCAGCAAAGAAGGACAGAGGGTCGCAGCTGAGCAGAGTAAATAAATCCCTTATTTACCTCACGAATCTCTGGCGAACTCTATCTAGTGTTTTCTGAAGGTTATCTCTAATTCTAATTGCCTATTTCATCCTGTCCTTCTGAGAACCTACAGCCCCGCTGTCCTCTCCGTCCGCATCAAACGCTCTCTATGTAATTTAGGTGAGCGTCAGTGCTGACACTGGTGGTCTGCGGCTTAATTACAGACACGCAGAGGACAGAAGGAGGCCCGCAAGTCAGAGCTGGCATTTGGATATTAATCTGTGCTAATGGCAGTGGAGTTCTGACAGCTCCCTCCTTTGGAGAAGCTGCACTCGCAATCACATGTGACTTAAAGTTGTTCAAGCAGCTTTCAAATAAGTCGAAGTACATTCCATTCAATTTTGCACAAAAATAAGATATTACACATATCAGCACAAGTCCCATAAATCCAGTTATCAGGGGCCATTTTCAGCGCCCTTTCTATCGACTCTGTTTACTGCAGAAGAGCGAATGCCAGCAGGAAAGGAGCAGGTGGAGAAGAACAGAGCTTGAGCGATCAGGAGAAAGGGCTACTATGATACTGCATGACACCATAGTTCCTATGCTTACCCAAATAAAAGTTTGCAACAATAAAAACCCATAGTCCATACAAATAACACGAAAACAAGAACCCAGCCTGCCAACCCTGACCTGACTGTGCACAAGAACCCGAACTGCTCAGCAGATGCTAAAATGGGTCTGGACACGTATGGACCTGGGTGCTACGGCTATCCTCAGCCCCACTGCTCATGGAGGCAGGAGCTGGTCCTGATGGCTTCACCTTCACCATGTTCCCCGCCCCCCACTCATCTCTACATTGCACAATGACAGCAGCAGTGCCGGACTGCACCAGCTACCACCATGCTTTTGAGTAGACTGGTCGGTAACTTTCAACAGATGTTTTGGATTTCCCAAATCCTGATTCACAACTCGGCTATATAATCTGACACCTAAATATACTGCATACTGATTGATTCAGGATCAAGGGGAGAGACATGAATGAAGAAGAACTCCGTAATTGGGTTCTCATTCTCTGTCTCTGTGTCTCTGACTGGAAATGAATGAAGTCTCTTCCTCACTCTTTTGCTTCAGTCGCCTTGATTACAACAGGGTCTCCATTATAGCTTACTATTCAGAGCACCTTTGGGCATGGAGAGACTGACACGTCAGTCATTAAGGTTAGGAAATCTTACAATCAATATGCCTGTCTTTTAAAAATGGCGCTAGCCATCAGGAAACTGTTGTATGCAAGAGCAGGGGCGGGGTCCAGGAGGGAGGGGCAGATGAATGAAGAGGAGACAGGAGGAAGAAGACAGTGAAGAATCAACATGGAACAAAAGTAGTACTGGTACACACTAGACACTATGTTGAAAACTAACCATACAACTTGTGGGTGGGGATGGGAGGGAAAACCTGGGATAGAAAAAGGGAAAGGATGACATTGTTCACATTGAAATGTATTCTTTTCCTGACTTATGTAACTGGAAGTCTTCTGTGTATCACCTATGTAATAACGCTAAAACGTTTTATAAAAAATGCAATGTCTATATTACAAACTTAAGAAAAGTAAGGGAAGGGTTGGGTCGCCGGGAGGGATGGGTGAGAATGATGAACTGATCAAGATGCATTGTATTCACACACTGCTTAGTTAAATGGAACTCCCTTGAATAAAAATACAAATGAAAGAAAGGTAAACATAAAAATAAAACTGTGGCTGGCAACACACAACAGGAATGAATGAGTACAGAAAACTAAACTAAGTGGGCAATTAGAGGGTGACAGGCAATTTAAGTTACAGGTGAGTCTTGGCATAGAATGGATGTGTTTCCACAAGATACAACTTTTTCTCTTCCTGCATGTGCTGCCTCCTGATGAATCCTGGTCTATTGAACTTTAAATACGTAAAATGTTCCTCCTTTACTTCTGAATGAAAGCCTGCTGAGTTTAATTCATATTGATCTCAGTTTCACAGTTGGAAATAGAAAGAAAAAAAATCTGATGAGAAAATCTGGGAGCTGAGTTTGCTTTGCTCAGTCCTCCCTGGTTTACCCAATAATATGATTAACACACACACGTCGCCAGTTCCACTCTGACCTGTCCCTGTGGCAGCCAGACAATGAAATTCTCCTCTGAGGACCGGTCAGGGAGGCCGGTGGAGCAAGTGACATGTAAGTTCATCACACATTCACACGGGCGGGGCAGGGGGGGGAGGAAGAAAAAGTTCACGGCTTCTACTTTTACCTCTCCCTTCTTTTGGTAGTTTTATTCTGCCATGGTCTTGCTACAAAGGAGTCCCCTAAAATATACAGTTTTCCTGTCCCTTGCTTGATTTTACTGCCATAATAGGACAAAATGAAAATAAAGGAAAATCATCATTGTTAATGTATCATTAATATGTTTGCATCTGTATCTATTCTTGTATTATCTACAATCTACCTACTCTCTAGTTTCTACCTACTTTCTATATACTTTCTTCCCTCCTTTCCTTCTTTTCTTTTTTCTTCCCTCCCTCCCTTCCTCTTTCTTTCTTTCTTTCTTTCTTTCTTTCTTTCTTTCTTTCTTTCTTTCTTTCTTTCTCCCTTCCTCACTCCCTTCCTCCCTCCCTCTCTCCGTCCCTTCCTTCCTTCCTCCCTTCCTGCTTTTCTTTTCTTTCTATATGTATATAGTGTAGCCACAAAGTGAGAGGCCTACAAAATGTTAAAATGTAATTCTCTAAGCAAAATACAGTACAAAAGTCAACTCACAGCACAGCAAAATGCAAGTTATATTGAATAGCTTCTCAATATATTTGACCTACAGTGATAACCTGAGTCAATGCGTATTTTATGTTACTCAGAGCAGCAAGCAACCAACCAGAGAAAAATGTGATATAGAGGCCATATAAATGAATTGGCCATTCATTATAATTGATAAGGCATTTTGAGCCTTAAGTTTACTGGAAATTAAAAAATACTGTTATATATCATAGACTATTCCAATCAGTATATCTGTTTTAGTATGCAAATTACCATTGTCATCCAAGGAGTCTTTGGCAGTGTGTTAAGCTATTTCAATATACTCTAAAAATTTTAGGATAAATGTGAAATTGTATCTGAAATTTCGGTATAAATCCCGATTCCTTGCCTCCCATTTTAGTTCATAGCTACCAGGAATACAACCATCTTTTATTTTCTGGAATGGTAGGCAAAACCACAAAAACCAAAGTTACCACCTTGCTTTCTAACTAATTCCCAAATCTTTATGCCAATATCTCACATTTTTGAATCTCAATCACTGCAAAGGGCAAAATAATTTTATGGAGTTATGAGTGAGACTATTTTAATGTATTGTTGCTAGTATTGGTAGAGTAGAAGCCAAGGGTGCTACTTTCTCTCTCTGACTTTTGAACTTTATAAACCGGTCACCTCTGCTTTCTTCAAAATTAACATCTCAAAATATAGATATCAAGATGTCCATATAAATCCAGTAATGGCCATTTAAAGTATCAAATACAATTACATTTAATTTTGTGAATGACTAGAATCATTCAGACGATGTAACTTTTGCCATTAGTTCTCACTGATCATATTCCACTAGTCTTGAAATCCTGGCACACAAATATTGTTATAAAAATAGTCTCATTATTTCAGTTTGCTTGTAATAACTTTTTGGTCAAAATATTTATTGCTGGTAATACGTGCATAAGTTGAAGTGTGAAAAAAAAGAATGTTTGGAATGCCTAATCATGTTGAAAATCATATTGGTCATGAGTTCACCAGCTATTTTACACAACGCTTTTTATGTTCAAGTCTATTTGCTAGATGAGCAGCGTTTTACCCTATTTTTTCAGATTTTTAAAGAATTTCCTACAGAATAAGTCTATTTGAAGGATAAGATTATTCATTTTAAAAGAGGAGGGAGAGGAAGACACAGATGATCAAACATCTAGTAATATGAGTCATTGGACAAAGCATTCCCTTGCTAGTTAATTGGCCTTTCATGATTAGGACAAATATAGAAGTGAAGTATTTACATTTGTTGTTTCCACCTTGTGCCCCTATGACGGGACTTTTATAAGGCTTGGTTAAACTTTAAAGCTCTGATAGCATTTTACTACTGAGTCTGAAGTCATCTCCTAACTGGTACTCAATTCTATCAAGGATAAAAGATTTGCAAAACAAAATCCTTTATAAGACACATCATAAAGCAGAACTCTCCATCCACTAATAGCTTCTGATAAAGTGCTTTCTGTAATGTTTTGGTTGAAGTCTCATTCCCAAACAAAGTCTTGGGCCTTACTCCTCACACAGAAGGTTTTGGAACTTTTGGAGTGTGAGAAATGATAGCTGGCAAAAGGCAAAGGTAAATCTCAGCTTCCCTGTGACCAGTGAGGGCTGGTGAAGGGAAATGGAGGGAAAGCAAGCAATGGAAATACACAGTGATTTGCAGGAGTCCTAGTCCTACAAGAAGGAAACTGGTGTCAGGAAGGGCTATTCTCTTATTTTAATGACACTTGCCTTGCAAACTGTAGATTTCTCCAACACTGTTCTGACGTGTGATGTGGTGCCAGTACGCACTACGAGGAAGAGAGATGGATTTGGATAAAGTCATTGGTTCAGTCAAGCTTGTCTGCAGCTGAAAAAAGAAGGAAAATGTGTTTAAGGATTTATAAACCATTAAACAAAAATCTATTTTAAATGCACCAAGTTGAATGCGAGTGACTATAGAAAAGTAGACTATAGAAAAGGCATTACAGTGTGACTAGTCCCTGCTCCCTCAATGAGGGTAACTTTCTAAAAGTAAAAAACATTATTCAAAACTATGAAATAAAGACTTACAGCTTAATCATTAAGAAAAGAACACAAGGAATGTGCAAATAGTTGGCAAGAATTCCAATGGCTTGTAGCCAACTGGGAATGCTGGGAAATATTCAAAGAAATAACCAATGGTATCCATCTGAACAAATTTGTCTCCATTTCAATAGGCAAGAAATATATGCATAACTTTTAAGCCTTCTGTAATGCACAGTGTGGCAAAATAACTCAAGAAATGCAATCTCTGTGAACCAGATGTCTCAGAAACATGCCAAATACACAATGCCTGTTAGTGCCTGTTAGTGTCTTAATTCCCTTCAAACTCCTCCTGACATCTCTCTCACTTTGCACAATAGTTGTTTTTCTCAGATACATGTTTTCCTTGCTTCTCTCATAGAATATTGTACATATTAAATGAGTATTTTCACTCAGAAACTGTGATAAAAGGATGTCAATATTTCACATTCAAAACCTTTAGTTCAAGGTGAGCTGAAGACACCTGTACCATATTACATCACATGCTCCTGCTTGTGATTAGTACAGAGAGAACATAGCTTCCCTTACATTTATAAGAAAGAAATATATTTTGTCTGGATTCACATGTGCTTTCCAAAAACATACAAGATTTTATTTTACCTTTGGACACATTTTTCTGACACAAGCTGAGCAAACACTGTTTGATGATGTAAGTTTTCTAATGAATGAAATCACACACATCACCTTTCACTTTTCAACTGCTATATATAATAAAGGAGTTATGAAGATCAAGTCTAGCCTTAGACTCCCATTGTCCCCCACCCTATCCCCAACACTTCTCACACTCCTCTCTCTAGCTTTGGATATGAGTTGTATTTTTATTCTATTTGATTGTGGTCATGAAAGAACCTGATATGACAAGATAGTATCTAAATTCACTAAAAAAGAGGCTTTATATTTGAGTAGATAGTATATTCAAAGGGGTTGAATGTATTTTTTTAGTTGACTTCTAGTGGTGAGATAGTTCTACTTACAAAAGTGCATGTACACTATTGTCCTTTTGAAAGAAGCTAGTCCCAGATAACTGCATTGCAGACAATTTTTATAGTTTTCATATTTTGACATTTCAAGTTTTCCTCTGTATTATACACAGGAATAGATGTCTATCTATTTCCACTGTCCACTACTGTGTAAAGAAGTGTAAAAAGGGGCTGGGAAGGTGGGTCAGTGGTAGAGCGCTTGCCTTGCATGCCTGAGGCCCTGGGTTCGATTCCTCAGCACCACATAAGCAAAAAGAAAAAAGCCGGAAGTGGTGCTGTGGCTCAGGTGGTAGAGCGCTAGCCTTGAGCTGAAGAGCTGAGGGACAGAGCCCAGGCCCAGAGTTCAGGCCACATGACCGGACCCCCCCAAAAAGAAAGTGTAAAAAGTGCAAAGAAATATAAAAAGTAAAGAAATGTAAAAAGAAGACAAGTTTATTTTTACATCCCAGCATCTCTTGGAATCCTTAAAATGCTTGTTAACAATTCATTTTCCAGATTTTCCCAAACATTGGAGGATATGTGTGTGTAGAGCTGCCTACATGAAGAATGCACCAAATATTCTCACAAATATTATTGCTGTAAGGGTGCAAAGGCAAAGTCCATTGTATGCAAGGTTATGAGGAGACAAAGAAACTACTTGCTTTTAAATCCAATTTCCCAAATGAGGCATCAGCTTAATTAAGCACATACACACATATTTAATTCATGTCAGCAGTAACCATTAATAACTTGAATTAATCCATAAAATCATTGTCATAGTCTGTAGTCTGATTACTGCCAAACTGTACAAAGCATTAGAACAGAGGTTTATTTTTAAAAAAAGACATATAAAGGAGAGGGGGAAAATCTTACTAGGATAACAGATTTAAAAAAGATGAAATGCAGGGATAAATAAAACACTAATAACTAAGTAAACCAGTAAACTTCTAAGATGAAGTGAGAAATCACCACATACCTTTCAATAGTTGCCCTAAATGTAATCAGTTATTAACACTCCAATTAAAACACACAGAGGTCAACTGGATTTAAAACATCTAAACAACGAAATCCAACTGTTTGCTGTCTACAAGAAACTCATCCTATTTGCAGAGCTACACCAAGACTGACAGTGAAAAGATGGAAAATGATATTCTAGTGAATGGAACATGAAAACAATAAGTAGTCTTACTCATATGTGACAAAGAAACTTCAAGTCCAACTTAGGAGAGATAAAGAAGAAACCAAGAGAAGGTTAGGGTGAAAGTGGCAGAAAATGTTGGCAACTATGTCAAGAGCTAAATGAACTGCTTCTTTCTCTCTCTTTGGTTTCTGCATCTATGCAGATCCATATCCAGAGCCTGGCAATGGAAATAGAGAATCCAATGAGTGTCACCTGTAGCGAAAAGCCACAGTTAGATGCTAAAGATGAATAGCAGAGTTTCTTGATGAACTGTTCATTACGTGATGTGGTACATTATAAGGAAATGTGCAGCAAGGCACATTTTGAGTTTTATTTGTTCTTGGAAGTGAGTTCATGAAACTTCAGAATTTTATGGGAACAGAGACCTCACAAACCTTAAGCCAGCCACTCCTGGCCCTCATTAAGTACTCTTCTGAAGTCTAAAGGTTTATGGGCAATTGGCTTCTCCCACACTTGGCTTAATTTTCAGAAGAGGACACCTCACACTTAATCTTCATTTAATTCAAGATTAATGGAAAGGAATTAGAAGACAACTGGCTGAGTTGTCAGATGAAATGTGATTTCCACAGTAGTTTCATGGAAGTGGCTAGGCATCACGTTGAACTTCACAGATTATCAATGCCATTAAACTGAAACAAAATGAAGCTACTTCCTTATACTGTAAACTATGCAATCAGGACCAGACAAGCTCAGGTTTAGAATAACATCAAAAATCATTAAAGGAGCAACATAAATATTTTTAACACCATTCTTGCTTGTAATCACTTATGCTCTTAAGAATGCATGCACATTTTAGTGTATTCTTCCTTTGTCATGGAACTTCATAGAACTACTCTTTGAACATAAAGACGATGATGAACACTCATTAAATATTTCATAGGTGATTTTATGTCAAAATTTTACTTTTTCAAAATTTAAATAGATACATATCTAATGGCTGTAGTGCAGTTTATATAGTTTATCTCAAAGATCTGCACATAATGAAGGCTGGGATCAATTTTAGTGATTCATTCTCTCTCTCTCCCTCTCTCTCCCTCCCTCTCTCTCTCTGTCTCTCTCTCTCTGTATAGCAGTTCATAGGTATTTCAGGATATTTGAATGTGTGTTGTCTATGACTTTAGTCTGTACTTGACCTTAGCAGTCTAAATCACACAGGCACACTTGTGATGGAGTTTCTGGCCAATGGCTTCTATCAGAAGGGATGTCACAACTTCCCTTGGTAACAGAAAACAAACAGTTCTGCTGGAGGGACTGGTGTGGATGATCTCTGTGAAATGGGAATGGGCTCCCGAGGTGACAATTGGGTCTACCATTTAGCTTAGTCTTAACAATCTAGCCTCAATGGTTTGCACATCAGTAATCTCTCAGAAATCATTCCATTTTAAATGTATTACTGTGGCTTCATTGTTCCAGTCACCTCCCCTAATCAAAACTCTCTTTAATTAATTCTTTTTAAAAAAATGTGCTTGTCCAGAGGTTTGCACTCAGGGCCTAGGCACTATCCCTGAGCTTTTTTTTGTTCAAGGCTAGTGCTCTACCACTTGAGCCATGGCTCCACTTCTAGCCTTTTAGTGGTTAACTGAAGATACAAGTCTTATGGACTTTCCTTCCCAGGCTAGCTTTGAACTATGATCCTCAGATCCTCAGATCTGCTGTGTAGCTAGAATTATAGACATGCACACTGGTGTCCAGCTAAAACTCCCTTTTGAATAAAACAGATTTAAGATTAACAATGAGAAAAAAGAGACTACCTAAACTTGCTGTTCCGTTTTTACTACCAAGGGCCTTTCCCAACCCTGCAGGGGCTGCATGTAGCTGGAGGCATCACTGGAAGGAGGTCTGGTGGGGTAGGCCCCCTGCTCTACAATTTCCTCTCTGCAGAGACTGACTCAGGGGCTTTCAGTGATGTGACTTTCCAAGAAGCCAGTCAGGCATCTTTGCCAGGGCAACATGAACGAAATCACTCTAAGCTTTTACTACTGTTTATCAAGATTTGCATGATGGTGCTGTGTCACTCATAGTAACCTGAAGTCAGGGAAAGTCTTTGCTATCTCAAGAAATGAGAGGCTATGAAATAACTGCTCTGGATACTTACAAACCTTTTCATCTAACAAAGGAGTCAATTCCTTCCTTGCTCACTCCCTGTTTTTCCCTTTTCAGCTTATCGAAGTGATGGACTAGCTATGAAGTAATAGTAACTAGGGTTAACTTCCAGAGAGAAGCCTCGTTGGTAAAGTGGTGTTTGAGATTAAAGCAAATTTAATTTTACACTTGATTTAATTTTATATTTATATGTAAACACCAAGTGATGGAGTCTCTGATTTTTGTATTTCTAGAAAGGTTACTGTTCGTTTGTTTGTTCATTTTGTGGTAGAGTAGATCTACTGTACTTCCCCTTCCACCTTTGACTTTTGGCCCCACATGCAGCCTGCAGAGCCTAGGTTTAGAATGCCTGAGACCTGGGTGGGTAGACCAGATGTTTCTACGTCCTCAACAGCAATTGCTCCACTTGTTTCCCAGTTGTGTTTCTCAGTGGCTCAGGCTATAATGAACACACAGCCAGAACTAAGGTGGATAATGTGAAGTAAGCTTTGTCTTGTAATGTGGTTCAGGGGGCAGAGGATTAACAATTTAACATTTTCATGAATGTTTCATGTCTCATAAATCATTCCTTTGCTCTATATCACTAATATAAGAATGAAAAATTACATGAAGACCATTCTTAATTCTTTCTAACGACTAATGCATGAAAATCTCTATAAACAACCAAGTAAGTAAAACTACCATATCACTGGGCTAGAAACACAGTATTGAGATGCACAGAGGCCAAATAACTGTGCAGGGTTACACAGCAGTGAGTGGTGGTCCTAGAAAATGGATCCAGGGTCCAAACCTGAGGATCTCTGTTACGGTGGACAGTCACAGCCTGAAGGAGTTCTTGGCATTTCCTTCATGAAACTAGAATGTAATTGATCTGACTTGGGAGAAATAGACTACTTCAAACAACTATTAAAAAAAACTTTAACTTCTTAACAGAAAGTAATATCACAATTGTTCATTTGGGTTGAAAATAAGTATCAGCCAATTATGACTGAAATAAATGGGCAAGTGCTCTCAAATCACTTGAAATGTGATTCCTATATTCCCCCCTTGATTTAAATCATTAGAAAAATGTCATGTTAATTAGATAATTGTTACAAAGAGTTTAAATGTAACTCAAGCATTTCTAGAAGGTTGCTTTACAGGCCCCTTATTGAAGACTCTAATCATTCCCAGTCACATATTAATAACGATGCTCTAGCTATTCCACCATTCCAGATGCCTGTGTCAGATGGATTTTTCCCTCATCCTCTGCCACACGTGTTAGGAGAAAGTGATATAACCATATCTTAAGTGTAGAGATAAAAGTATATATTTTAGTATTAGGGAAAATTAGAAATATATTATGAATAACTTAAGATCACTGGCTAAACTACTGTGTTATCTTAGAAGAGAGAATTTGCTTTTATATATCCAGTGGTTTTGTAGAATATCAACATTAGGGTTGCTATAATAGTCCATTTTAAAAAAGCATCACTATCTTTCACTAGAATAGACCTGCTGCTGATGGAGCCCAAAGAAAAATAAGATCCTTCCCAACACTTCCTGTGACCTCAGATGACATCAGATGCACCTTACTCCTCTAGAAAGAAGCAACAGTCATCTCTCAAGGGGACAGTCAACAACTACCCTGTTGTTTGCTTTTCAAACACATTATAGATTATGATTTGTTTTCAGCTGGCTGTGAACTTTACCACTACAGCTCCTCTACTAAGTTATTTCTTAATGACCTTGAAATTATCAGCAAGATATGAGGCAAACCATTTTGTTGGCAAACAGAATAAGCTTGTTCTGGAAACATTTTATTATTGGATCTGAAATGCAAGTAGAAAAAGCACAAATGTCAGAATGTCTAGTGACAAGCAAAATCTTTCTGGGTGGTACCTTAATTTTCCTAGTTATTTATTTTGTCCCCACGCTGGAATCTTGGGAGCAACTGTATCTATATGCACTGTCTTTGTGTCTCTATAGATATGTGCATTGCAGAACTGTTGCTACTAGGCTCTATACTCCTCTTTGGATAACCATAGCATCCAGTCACACATGGTAACACTTGGAGTGCAGGTCTTTTAGGTCACAGTCAAAAAGCTTCTGTGATAGATTGAATTAGATATAGGAGAGACAAGAGGCTACACCACACAGGTTGGGTAAATGAGACCTGCCTCTGGTGTCAGGGCAGGCATACACCCATGTGCTACATGAATGGGCCCACATAAACATGACATACATCAGACCCAGGGACATTCATTTGCAAGCTGTTAGGTTATCAAGGAAGGAGCCTTACCCGGGCTTTCTGCTCCATCTCTAGCATTAATCTCTCATGTTGCTCAGCTATGGCCAGTGTCGCAGAATGCACCTTCTGATAGATCATTTCTCCTTCCCTTGTTTGAAAAGTGAATAGTCCTTCTCCTGTGTCACACATTCTGTGAGAACAGAGACAGGGAAAGAGATGGGTCTTCATGGGTTCAAGCATGAAACAGTTCATGTAAAAGATGCCCTTGTCCTGGAGTTCTCTCTTCCTCATTTCATGGGAGCTGATGAGATAGACTCATCCTTGACCAAACCAACCAAGCATCACACCACAGAGTGCTCCATGAGGAGGGAGTTAAGGAGCATGATCTCAATGCAATTGATTTTTAAAATACAGAGCATTTACCACGGTGTAAAAGGCACACAGAAATTGATTTAGGTCACTGCAGTGCTCGCCTGGCCCTGAAGGGAATAAAAGCCAATAGTTGTTTTCTTGAAGGCTTTTCATGCTTGAGATATAATGATTGTATTGTATCCCTTATTCACTAGCATCTCTTAAAATTTAAAAAGACTTATGAAAATTCAGGAATTCTATGCTCATTCCGTATAAGGAATGAAAACTACATAGTTTCTTTTTTTAAATGCATATCTTTTATATTTGAGAATGCGCAAATATACTTTATAACCAAACAAGTCTTACATAGGTTTTGGTGTAGTAACTACATGATGTAAATAAGAACCTCTTAAGACTTGAGGCTGCTTGAATTGAATGCTGTTTCTAACAATTTCAGATGCACAGACACAGACAAGTTTGTAGCTTTGCAGATCTCCTTTCCGCATGTCTAAATTGGGAATCATGCGGCCATTCCATAAAGTCTTCCTGAAAGTTAAAAAGGTTGGTCCCCAAAATACAGCACTGCTGCTTAGATCATATGGAGTGTTCAAAATTTTTAGCTATTACTATTTTCAGTATAAAGTTTGGAATGAATCACAAGGAAAGTTTGGATCTCCCATTGAGAAAGGGCTGGATTGATTTTATTTTTATCTGCTATTATGCTGTTATGCTATAGAAAGACTTCTGTGTAGATATTTGTATATGATTTCTGGTAACATAATAACTTTGAAAGTGTTCTTAAGGAAACACAAGAAGAAAATTGAGAATCCAAATTCCTTTTCTATTACGTAGTTATATGTACCTCTTTTGATATATACATACATATATAGATATATATATATATATCTATATATGTTATGTTTAAGTAGTTGTAGCAATGGGTTTCAATTCAGTTTATCAGTACAATGCATCTTGATCAATGCCACTGTGTATAATTACCTTTTAAAAACAAATGCTATCAGAAAGAAAATTCTCACTGACAAGTTGTCAGACAGTAGTAGTGCAGGTCCATTTCATGAACGAAGACTAACTCTGAGATGAAAAATAATTTACTTAATACCAGAGCCTAGTTTGTACGCATAACCGGGGGCCTGTGGAGTCACTCGGTATCAGTGTGATATTGTACTCGGATTTTAGATGTTTATGGAACAGCTGTGTTGTTGGTTTCTGGTGATACCGTTCAAAGATTTACAGGGCGTAAGATCTAATTATGCATGAGGCCCAACTATTTATTCAAACACCAACACGATTTTGGACTTTTCTCTCTGGTTTTCTGAGAGGGTTTCAGTAAAAGGAACTGTCTCGAGAGGCCTCACATCACAGAGGCTCAGGCAATGATCTCTGAGGGCCCTGTGGAGCCACACTTAGCTTCTGTGGAAGCGATCTTAATAAAAGTCACCCAGCGTGAAATGGAAAGTCTGGGGGAAAAATGAAGTTTTCACTAAGTGAAACAAATGAGCTATCTTTGTTGATTCAGGGGAACCAGAAATCCAACAGCAGCAACAAAACCACAGATAGGTCCTGAGTGTGCACTGTGTAAAGGGGAATTTTGGTCATTGTCTTCTGAAAACCACTGCTCATTGGCCTTGGGAAATGAGATAATGAAGACACAAATTGTTATTTCATACTCAGTCACTGAGATGTAAACTTCTAATGCCTGTCCACTACCCAAGACTTAACTCTGCCCGGTGGGGATGTTTACAGGAGCAATTTGCCCACGTTCTGTAATAACTACTGTAAACGTTATCCTTTGATCAAGGAATGAGGCTTTAAAACATGCCAGCATCCCTAGCAAAGAAAACGTGAAGCAGATTAGCATTTGTTCATCGTCAGAGTTCGAGGTCAGAACTCCCCTTTATGCCTGTTTCATGCTCAGGGCTTTTGTCAATCTTGTTGGAATGAGCAGTTGTTTCCTTGACTGTTGCTTAAAATGTGTTTTATGTGGGCTGAGCAGGAACAGAAATGGGGCCTCTTCACCTATGGAAATAGTTTTGTGGCACCAAACAAGTGTTAGAGGATGCGGTCAGGAGGGAGATGGAATAAGGGGTGTGTCATGTGTCATGTTTCTCAACGTAGTGTTCAAGCACCAGCACTGCACCTGCGTCTCCCGCCTGTTCAGACCCAGAGATCAGAATCTGCATCTTAACAACGTCTGCAGGTGGCCGGCACACACAGTGTGCATGCTGCCTGCCATGTGGTTGAGGACAACATAGAGGCCATGTTTGTGCAGCTTTTCAAGGACCAATAAGAAAGTGAAGGTTAGAAAAGAAGAAATGGTACTGAAAAGAGAAAGAAGCGTGAAGAAACCCTTCTAACAACTCACAAAGTGTCAAGGCACAGGGTGCTTGTGACATTCAACAGTTCCAAGTCTCCACCTTTCAGTCAAAGACTGTATATATTTTCATGAAAATAAATGAGGACAGTTTAAGGCTACTTAGAATATTATCTCCTTAATTAACTTTCTCACTTATGTAACCTAAACTGGCCGTTCTAATGGTGAAGATTTCCTTTCTGCTCTGGAATGGCCTGGGGATTTATCAAAATTCTAAGAGGTAAATAGGAATGGAGCCAGGTTGTCTCCAAGGATTGCTTTGTTTGGACATTGTGATAGAAGGGAAGTTACAACCATTACAGGAGTCAAGAAACCAGCGGAAAAGCAGAGCCAGCAGGTCATGGCTTGTCAGATAAATTGTTCACACATTCTTCCAGTGGGTAACATGAACGAGAGGGTTGAGGACTAGAAAGGGAGCACATATAAATGACTCGTGTTCTCTGAGCATGTTTTCAAGTTGTGGGAAAGGAAGAGCACTGAGCGGTGAGCATGCAATTCAGCGTGAGCATGAGTCTCAGGGTGGGACACGAGATGGAAGCTGGTATTCAACAACTTCATTCAGGAAGGCCAAGTTCAACCTATAAGTGGAGCAAAGGTATCTCAAATGTGAGAGGAGACAGGAAAAGATACAGGTCAACGCCTGGGTTCCTCAACTCATAGAAAGTCCTATTTTCAGAATAGGCCCGTGACTGGCATCTGGGCGATAACCTCTGAGCCTTGGGAATATTTTGCTGCTTCTCTATGTCTGAGATCCTGCTACCCGAGTTTGACCTGAGACACTGATCCCAACCACCTGACCTGGGTGAACAGCTGCTTTTATGGTGACAGGGGTGTGGCGGGCCTGCAGTAACGCCTGGGCCCACCGAGGCAGGTGTGGGCGACTCTGGTTGACAGCACTTCCTGTGTGAGGGAGTACTCAGTGCTTTCAGCCAGCACTCGTGCCAGGGCCCTAGAAGCCCAGGGCCACATCTCCCAGTCTTCCCCTTTGTGGATCCCACAGTCAACCACAACTGAGTGTCAAGTGTTTGGTGTGTGCCCTGTGGGTCTTTTCCAGAGAACCATGAAGTCTGAGGGTGGTCTGGGGCACACCTCAATCTGAGCACCTGGTAAGCTGTTAATGTATTTCCACACAACGGGAAACAGAAAACCCTATCTTTTCTCTAGATGGCAGATTTTCAGATTCCATTTCTCCAGGGGTTGACCGAGAACACCCATCTTTATTTCATGTCTCCAGTCACTTCCAGACTCACTGGAAGTGGCCATGCTATGGGTCTTGCTCTTGCTATGTCTTCAATGTACACCGCAGCCAGAGAGTATGTGGACACGGTCATTGTGGAAACCCCAACACCAGGTGCTATTCTCTATACTTCAAAGTCTGCATAGGAAACAACTCTACACTATCAAGTCCCAGATACATGTTACTGGAACGTGCCTGCTGTGTAATGATTGGACCCTACAAACCTTTTCCTGTCTCAATTCAGCTCTGTGAAGAGTAATAACTTTGAAGTGCCAGTCTTTCTTGCAAATATATGTGAAATATAAATATATGGGAAACTTGTGGAGACTGCTTTGCTTTTTATTTAAAAGAAGACATACATTAAAATATTTCTCCATGTCTGTAGACAAAACTTTGCTACCCATGGATTACTAGACTTGTAGCAATTTGTCCATCATTAAAGCTATGTGAATTTTTCTCATTGTAATTTTTTGTGACATTGTGTGCGTATCAAATATTTCTCCTCTGTGCACATAGAAAATTTAAACCCTCAGCAGTGGAGTAGAGCAGAAACATGCTCCTGGAAATTCAACAGTGTTTCTCTTTGGGATTTAAAATTTAATGCTTAATTATAGAAAGTGATGAAACTCTTAAGAGCACAGCTTTTCTTCAGAACGCTTTAAGCCAATTAGCACATTTATTGTGTTAAGGGTTTAATTTTCATTGCCACTGAACAATGCTAGCTAGCATTTAAAGCTGAGCAGCAGCCATGGAGATATTGGTGAGATTCTAAGAGTGCTCAAGAGTCAGATTTTGATCTCTGCTAGAAACAGAAAATGCATATACTAATAGACATTACGATTCCTAACTCTACGATGTGCAGAAATAGACCCAATTCATTTGACAGTTAAAAATGTGATCACTAGAATTTCAGGTCAGTGAGCGAGAGAGCTAGGCTCTTCCTTGCTATTTGTAAGAACAGTAACAAAATTTGAATTCATACCTCCATCTCCCCTATGTTCTAGAGAAAGCATATGTTTATAAAAAGAAATGGAAAAGGGCTGGGAAGTTGGCTCAGTGGTAGAGTGCTTACTTTGCATGCATGAGGACCTGGGTTCGATTCCTGAGTACCACATAAACAGGAAAAAGCCAGAAGTGGCTCTGTGGTTCAAGTGGTAGGTTGCTACCCTTGAGTGGGAAACGCTGAGGGACAGCGCCAGGTCCAGAATTC